ACTATTGGCAAGTAACCCTTAACACAAAGCTGACTGCTGTAATAACATTTGATTTTGTGTTGTATTGCCCCTAGTGACCTGTCTGTTCAATTTTGTGCCTCTATGCTCCACTGGAACAAACATCAGGTTTTAAACCAAAGCATCTTTACATAAACATATGGAACCGAGCTATGGCTGAAGGCTTTCTCATGATTCGAAATTATATTGCTGGGAGGTAACCCAGCGATATATCACTGACCAGACGTCTTCAGTTGTATGATCATCTAGATCCAACAATCTACACTCACTAAAGGCACAGTTTGTTACCCATATGCAGGAGGATGGAACGGGGGAAAGACATACAGAATTATGGCCCAGTGTTTGCTGGTTTAACCACTTTTCTGTTTACATAGTTGATTGTGTTTGATTGTTCTAAAATCACTGGTTTATTATTACACAAACTATTACACTATACGAATGCTGCTGTGACCAAATCACAGTATTTCTCTATAATACTCAATGATTTATAGCATTTGTTGTTTTTTTTTGTTTGACTATAGAAAGCATAATGTGTTATTTGTGTCATGTATATCAGCTTTTTTTGTTTAGTTCAGTTGAAGAACCCCCACCCTTGTTCCCCTCCGCCCCGACTTCTACAATCAAACCTACATCCTCTCTAAAACAAAGGCCTGATCTTCCAGACAGAGATCATTTCAGCATCAGAATTACAAAAAACACACATTCAAACACTAATTGTAGTGTGTTTGTAGTGTATTTGGAGTGGTGCAGAGTAAAGATTGACTGTGCATATTTACATCAATACCATGCAGCCATGGACAAATATATAATTAACAAACCGCATCTATTTCTACTTTATGACTTTTATACAGCACATATGATTTTGCTGTAATTGGCAGAACAGCCAGACTGACCTTAAGAAAGTGTACCATTACTACTCTCTGTACACTCTGAGAGCCCCACAGTGCATTTCAGTGACAGCACAGGAGCTTGAAGGGGACACTACCTTCTGTCGCTCTTGGCTTTCTCACTTTCTCACTTAGTTCAAAGTCCCCGGGGGCATCCAGAGCTCATAACTAATTGATCCAATTCTTGTTTGATTCTATTTATAGTTTTGCTTCTGTACAGTAACACTTGCTTCTTCACTCCTAACAACACTTATAATCAGGTAGATTATTATCAGGTCAAACTGTGTCAATGTCACAGCAGGGTTACTGAGAAGCGGATCTATGGTTTTTCATGTTTTATCTCTTCCCGGTTGCTGTCACATCCATAGAAAAACAGAGCACACGCTGTGGGAGCCTCACAGCATGGGGCATGCATATTTCAAATGCTCAGTTGGAGTAGATGGCATCGCCACATGCACTCATGGTTGCTAAGGGCTTGATGGGGGGCGCTGTCTCTCTGGCGAGGTTGTCATCCATATTGAATGATGTTTTTGGTTGTGTGGCGGCCATGTGACTTTGTTTTGCTCCAAGAAGAAAGCAGATGCTGCCAGCACAGGGTCAGCACAAACGTTTCATGATGTTACAGTATGAGTCACGATGAAAGAAAAAGAAAATATTCAATCAGAATTAGGTTTCGTCTGTATTTATGATTTATTTTCATTATTTTGCTTTCATCTTCTGAAGTTTCTGCAGCAGGACAACAAAGCAGAGGCAGGGACAAGAGGGTGTTAAGATTATTACATTCTCTCTGACTCCTTTGATTAAACATGCAGCTCTAACACGTAATGAAAGCTGTGAGACTAGTGGTGGAGGAAGTGATGAGATCATGTTCTCAAAGGACCAGTGTGTAGGATTTAGTGACTTCCAGTGGTGGAATTGCAGATTGCAACCATCTGAATACAGCTCAGCTTTTCAAGTGTGTCGGAGAAACTACGGCAACCATTCTTATTTTCAAGGATAAAAACATACCTTGAATATTATATTCTATTTCTGTCAATAGATAAAAGTACCAATACAACAATGTGAAACTAGGCTACTCCACTACCACCAAAAGTAATTCAAAACCATACCCTAAGTAAAAATACTGAAATACTATCAGCAAAATAGACTTGAAGAATCAAATTAAAAGTACCCGTTCTGCAGAAAACATGGTTTCTTCCAAAGGGTCCAAAGTTCTCCTACACACATTTGTACTCATTCTCTTAGCTCTTGAAAGACAGATCCTTAAAAGATCATTGGGTTATTATTGGATGAGTTAAAATATACACCTCTTTGTGTATGTTTAATCCTGATGTAATTATGGACTGTGTTACAGTACATTAGTTTGCATCAGAATCACAAAGATATAGAGATCATGTCAGAGAGTCACTATAATGAGTATCAAAAATAAAAATGTCATTACACTATTGGACTTAATGCAGATATGAATATATTTATTCATATCTATATATTTGCAATCATACTGATAGCTCCAACACTTACCCTGCCTTCTGTATATATGTCTGAACCAATAGTGATGATTTTTATCTTAAGAGAGGACAGAACACTTGCAACCTATATTAAAACATATTTTCATTTTGACATATAGATTCCTATTTTCATATGAATCTTGGCATAAGAATAAATCATCATATTTTCATGGGACTGTAAATCTGGATGTGCATGAATAAGTGAATGAGCAGAGAAGTAAAAACCTCTCTGGTAAAAGACAAGAGGAAAAGACCAATAATCTCTCCCTTGTGGTGTTCCTATTTATAGGGGTAGACTGTCGCTTCAGATTAAGGTCAGTGACAGCCATTTGCTGCCCTCTGCTGGAGAGAGACCGTATTTTTTACCTGCTCCAGATCCTTTAACACATAAACCCAAAGAGGCTTAATGTCTATGATGTTGACCATAAATGAATGGTGCTATTTTACAGATCTTTCATTAAGTCAGTTTTAATATTTTCACTTGGATGGTTCTCCGTAAGATCATCGGGAAGCTGCAAGTCTTCTTTGTCAGACATCTTCAGGAAGGCGGGATCAGTTTTAAGGAGCTCAGGCCATCCTGTCTTTGAGGCATTTGATCTTCTCCCTACAGGTCAGAGGCACAGGGTTTCCAGGTAAAAGTGCAATAGACTTCACATTTCCTTTGTCCCTGCCAGTGCAATACGCATGCTTAACTTGCACAAAGGCTCATTGTTACCTTGCACCTATGCACTTTTTGCTCAAACTTTATCTTATCAAATTCTATACAAAAAACATATTTTCATAGACTTGTAACTGTGCTCTCCTGCAACCCAAATTCCCCCCACTGGCACACCAGAGTGCCAAACTTATATTTCACTTTTATCAAGAATACTGAAGAGTTGCCACTGTTGTGCATACATTATTGTGCACTATATGGCTCAAATCTGGGCACCACATGGCACAGGATGTAATTCAGTTAATTGTGCCATGAATTTACGAATCACATCCCACATTCACCCCAGCCAATGGTCTCTTAAAGCTGATAAAAATAGAAAATAAGATGAAAATGCAAGGGTCTAAGGATAGAGGGTGTTGTATGCTCTACAGATTGTGAAGCCCCTTGAGGCAGATTTGTAATATTAGGCTATTAAAATAAAATTGACTTAACTTGACTCTGAGGAGAAGGTTAATCAGATTTTAAATATATTAAACTGAATTAAATGAGGTTACAATTAATCCTAGATGCCTTATCAACAGAAACATTTCGTAATGTTAGAAAAAGAGGCAGAATTTTCTCTAGATAATTAGACAAACATGTGTACAGTATGTTATGTTAGGTATGGCTCTTTTCATTCTTCAAATGTTGACCTTTTGAAGTAATTGCTGCTTGTCTAGCAGTCACAATATCTAATACCTGCCTAGTTATGGAGATTGAGAGGGGTACTAATGTACTGCGCCAAGCCCAGAGGAGATTGTAACACTGATGGATTGTTCATTATCATTTCAGGATAAACAATGATCTTGAAAAACACTCCCTGCAGTGTACAACACAAAATAACAAACAATTATAAACTCAGTCTGCATTTCCGTATGTGATATTGTAGAACTGGGATATCATGTCAATACTGAATCATGTCACCATAAAAAAAAGACATTAAAATTAAAACTAAAAATGTTATTACACCTATTTGCTTCAGTGTCATACACAATAAAAAGATTACTCTCCGCAAACATTGGGTGTTTTGCCAAATCCTTGTGTCTCACAGCAATTAATCCAACACGATACCCTTTATATTCACTCCAATACCTCATTATCACTTTCACTTAATCAATGTTTAACAAGCCTCTGGTGTTGTGTAACAGAGCGAGCACTGTACAGCACCTGTATCAGCTTGCAATGTTGAAATAAAGACCATGGATTAAATTTTTGATTTGAAGCACCGGGGTGGAACTGACAGACCACAAAAGCAACAAGGTTTAAGCCCCCGGGTGTAGGACAATCATGTAATTTTGTTAGTCTGGTGTACTGCAGCAAACCAACTATTGCCTCTGCAGGGCAGTCGGCATGCTTTGTGAACACGTATTAAATAAAACTGTTCAAATGTAAAACCCCCTGTGCTAGCAACAACAACAAAAAAACACACCATTACTGTGGACAGATCCTGAAAGAGGATCCTACTTGTATTAGGTAAACTGTACTCTGTACTGTAAATATTAAAACTTCTTTTAATGCGAGCTTAACTATTCTAAGATGTAAAACAGTAATCTGAATTTTTGAACTTAACTCTTACTAACAAATGCTTCCAGTCAAAAAGAAGTCAATGACTGGAGACGTGCAAATATATTCACAGAAAAGAGAAAACAATGTTTCTGTGTCCTCAATAAAGTCTGGAAGTTTAGATTAACAGTAATCCATCTGATCTTTAAAGCTATATTTAGATTTAATTAGCAACCTTCCTGACTAATTAATAATTAAAGCCATAAAAGGCAGGATGATCCTACCAGGTTTGAAGCCCTCGACAAGCTCATCATCATCATGTTATGATATTAACCAACATGTAAGAAACAGATCAGCCACAATACAAAATCAGCAATTAGGAAATTGAGATGATACTTGAAAAATACTGTATTTTGGGTAAAGCACTCTTACAGAAAATCACATTACGTTTCCTTCAAAAAGCAATTACACTGACCAACAGAACGGCCCCACTGTTTCACATGTAATCAACATTCAATTCAACCTTCTTTCAAAAACTGTTGTCCCGTAAAAACAAAAACAACAAAAAAAAACAATGTAAATTGCATGATCACTTTGTGCTATGAAATATCATAGCATGTCCTCGAAGAAAAGCCCTTTAAGGTGACAATATCTCAGAAACATCATGATGAAGAAATGGTAGCAGATCCATTAGTATTTACAAATCCACAATTCTTTGGCTGTTTGGTCCACGGTTGTCACTGGTTGGCTCAATGCATCAATTCTAGTCTGCCAATTCAATACATCGATCTGCTAAAACACAGCTGTTTTGAGTTCAGCTATAATTCATATGAAACAGCATTAATTACAATAACTGAATTTAATCAAATCATCTTTCTTAAAAGATAAAGTGTTATTGTCTCTACTGCTATTACAACTGCTGCAACTGTGAGTAATTTTAATATTTATGCTACTATGGCTGCTGCTATTAGCACTGCAGGCCAATACTGTTGCAGCATAATATTTTAAAGGTAATTATGCTATTATGGTGAATTCTATAATTATCTATTTTTTACCATTGTTGGAGAATTTAAATGTTTATTTAATGGCTATACATACAGTTTTGGCTCATTATGACTGAATCAAATTGTGGGTTTCTGAAGCTGAACAAAAATCCCCATGTTGGGGAATCAGGCTGAATCACTGCTACGGTAGCAATTCACAACTCTATAATTTAATATTATTACTTATTACTTCACATTAAACAATTAATTCAGTGGGAACTGTCATGGTGAAATGGTTTATGGACATTTCAGTCTCCCACTAGCAAGTGCAATGACAAAAAAAACCACATACACATGCATTAGACTAGCAATATGTAAAACTCTAAAACAAAAATATTCCCTAATACTTTGAAATGAACAGTGACATCTTACCTTGTAGACATTCTTACTCTACGCCATGCAGCGTTGCAACATAACTAAGAATCCCTTTAGTACATACTACAGAATAACTCCTTGGATCCTAAAAAGGGTTTTGACAGGGTGAAGAAGACATGTAATGTTCTTGAAATATCTGGATTTTGGACCTTTTGTGGACACAGCAACTCTAAAAATCACCAATATCTCTTTCCAAATGTTTTGTTTGGAAAGAGAATCAATCTTAAAGCTACACTATCAGTATTTTATAAATTAATGATGGACTGCAGTGTGAGAAGTGATAAAACCAGGTCAGCACTTATTTAAGTTCCCCTCGGTCTGTTTAGCGCCGACACAAACTCCAATCCGATCAATGCTGTTTCCAGCAGGAAGCTGTTTTCAGCCAAAAGCTCCAAACTCCCACTGTACACAACCTGCTCAGACAAAGCGGCGGATTGCTGGTGAGTAAAGTGGAACCTTTAGCAGCTAAAGATAGATATAAACAGCACTAAACGGAGAGTGAGTATTGGACTTCAATTCATCAGGTGGCCAAAAACAACTCCCAATGAATGTTAACGTTGCTCAGAGTCTTCTGGAAATGTAAACAAGCAATTCTGGCGAGTGTATTCGCCATAAAAACGTATTAATAATTAAATAATATGCAGTGTTGCGTTTAAAGATTGTTTGGTTCCCCAAAATGTTGCTGAGAGGTGTTTCTAACATTCTGCCCCTTTCATGTATGTAAATAGGGTTGACGAAATATTAGAAACACTTTTGAGTATTTCAGGTTATACTGCACAGCTACTGTATTGGACTGCACAGGCGTACCTAACAAAGTGGTAACTCAGTATGTTATTCGCCTCCAGATTCTAGACTGAGATGCAGACTTAGCAGGTTCATGCTAATGCAATAGGCTCCTGAGCGCTTTTATAGAGGAGTAACAAGCTTGTGCCCCTATATGTAGTGTAACTTTAAAATAAGTAAGGACAATACTTCTTTCCTCACTCATACTGCAGAACTTTCGGTTATGTCGTATCAGTAGAGAGCTCTTGCACATACTTTCTGCACACAGGCCAGACGATTTTACAGACAGGAGGCTTTCTGTGACACAAACCAGGACAAGAGGAGTCCAAATATGGAAATGGTCAGATAAAAATAAGGATTGCTTAACTTCCCAATCTTGGCCCCGAGCGGAACAGCGAGGGCTAAATATAAAACCTTGCGGTTTCTCATGTCTCGCCTCTGCAGCAGTTCACAGGTCCCTTACCATTTCATTAAAGTATTGTTACTCCCCTCTAAGCCCAGAAACCTCAAGAAAGAGGAAGCTCTTCGTGGGAGCGAAGCTGAATAAATACAGCAGTGTATCATTACATACAAAATAACTTTGATTACTGCCTCAGAGTGCCAATGAGTGTAAAATGGCACATTAATTGTGCAACTACATTGTCCTCTCCCCCTGACACCTGTCTCATCTGAACATTGTCATTTCTACAAAAATGGACAGAATACACTTTTAAGTGACTCAAAGGAGAGCCACAAACAGTCACTACAATACACTTTCCCTTTGTCCTCTGTGTAAAGTGTATTGTGTCTCTTTCCTGGGGTTTGGTGCCATGGCAGTATCCCCAGCAGGCTTTATTTAGAGTGCCGCTCAGCAGAGTCGAGAGCCACGGATCCTTGTGGATCTGCAGCCAAATCAGAGGCCTGATACTCTTTTGTGCTCTCAGCAGTCCATGGGGACTCAGGGAAGGAGGTGTCCTCTTCCGCCTTGTCAGTACTTATTAATCCCAAAGATCCTCACACCATGCAGCTGGGGCAGCTTGGGGATGAGTACAGTGAGCAAGGAAACCGTATTGACCACAAAATGGACCCGGTCGTATTTGGTGTAGAAGCTGGTCAGTATATACCTAAAGCAGAGATAGAGAAGAGAAGAATACGTTATGATTACAAGGGTAGAAATTAGTATCTAGAACTCTAAATAAAACACAAACACAAAAAAGTCTTTAGTAAAGAAAAACTTTGATTAAAAATCTAACTGTCAAAACCTCCCCTTAAGTATGTAATAACCTCTCATTTAAGATGTTTCTTGAACACAGTGCCAGCACTTCAACCTGTGACTGTTTCAACACGCTGAACTACAGAATTGCAACATCACTTATTATTAGTTAATAGTTAAAGCATGTGCATATGATGCTACAATGCTAATTTACATCCATGTCTATAAATCTCATCACTACAGAAGAACAACTCAACGAACATTTAGAAATGCCCCTGAAGCGAGTTCCCAGTGCTTCCTATGCGAACCCTGACTGGCTATGTGCTGACAGATGATGCACAGATGTGGTATTCCTGGTAAGAAACAACAAGAAACTGTGCTAATCCTGTTCTCTGCTGAAAACAAGTGAGGACATGTAATAAAAAGCTCTCAGGAGACTTCTGCACATGTGTAGCTTTTCCATGTGGAGCTGGGAGACTGACCACTTGTCTCTTCCTGCTGGCGCTGGTCACGAAAACAAAATGACTAAGTGGCCTTTAAAGCCAGTGTGTAAAAGTGTACACCTGCAAAAACTGCTATCCCTACAATGTTCAGGCTGAGCTGGCAAATCAACCCCAGGGAGCCAGAGTGCTTCCTGTAAACTGAACTGTGCTGGTTAATAAGGACAGAAAGCGGCATGAAAGCAGCAAGGGGCACTGCTTCAAATACTAGGCCTCTTAACAACGTGTGAGCTTGGCTAATGTGGTAGCAGTGGGGATGCTAATCAATCATCTCTTTGTGAGTACAACTCAAAAATAAAAAAAGGTAGAAGAGGACAATATTTTGTAATGAAAAGTACGTTTTTTGCCAGATGTACCGTAACAGGCACAAAGTAAATCCTTCGTACGGCTTCAGTGAGGGATCATGTCCTTGTCTGAGCACTAGGGAGTGTTTCTGCTCGGTCTGTCTACACTATCATCTTCTTCTTCTGTCTACGCCTTACCAATGTCAAGCTTTGGTACTCTATAATGTACAGTCCTGCTCTATTTGTTTCTCAGTGTACTCGAGTACTTAATGATCAACTGTTCCCTCCAACTGTTACACAACTGGTAGGCCGAGCTTTAGGTTTTGAGGGCCACTTACAGGACGATGGGTGTGATGGTGAGGAACTTGCGCGAGGCAGTAAACTGCACACCATAGTCCATCTGCTCCCAGTGTGTGAGGAGGCGGGCCTTGCCCTGATCAGGGGTCTCAAACGGCGTACCTTTGACCGTATGAAGTAGGAGGTACATGCACTGCAACAGACAAAGAGACACATAGTCAGAGACAGAAAGAAGGCTCATTGGATGGCGGTGAAAAAATATTACATTATTATCAAAAGGAGATAACGTAGAACAGCCTAAATGTGTGTGCTTTTGTTAGAGAGATACAGTAGTTTGGGGGGATTTCACTGTTTTTAGTAGACAGGGACTAATAAATGCCTTAGCACAGACCCTTTTTATGATTGGGTGTAGTTCGAAATTATGTCAAAGAGAAAATATTACGCTACGTTTGGCTCATGGGATCAAATAACACAATCACGATCCCATAGGCATTCAGGACTTGAACAAACATAAGCAAGTAAACTAAGGGGGGGTAAGGGGTGCATTTTCGAAGTATTGTCTCAGGGGAGGCCCACAATCTCAGACTTTTAAAACCCCTGGTCTACAACAAAATTGCCAGGAAGTTAGTGAATAAAGGGGTTATAGACCCCAAAACACAGCAGGAAGCCCACAAGCAACAAGTGGATGTGTCAGGATTCCTGGTGTTAGGAGCACGTATAAACTGCATGACAAAACGCCTAAACCCAAACTATTAAATACACGACTGTAACAAGATGAAATTGTTGTTAACATTGTGCTTTTTCTCGGAAACCAGACGTCCATGATGCAAGACTGAGGTATACCTCAGCCCTGAGAATGAAATGCTGGTTGAATCATTACTGCCAGCAACTTATTTTAACAAAGAACATGACTAAGAGCGGTGAAGTAGTAAGTAGATCTTTCCAGTCTCCTCACAAAAAACCTTCATATAGAGATTTATTATGCCCCGACTCCTTCCTGTAAAGTTACTTTCATTCACCACATTCCAGTCTTTTCACCAGGCCTGCGCCGTGGGTGTCCTTCACTGACTTGACTGTTTCAACAAACGTTAAAGGAAACTGTGGCGCTGCTTCTGCTCCACTGACCAGATTGTGAATGAGGTTGGTGAGCGTCCAGACCACAGGTACGCTGACGAAGGGAATGCTGAGCAGGATGACGTGCAAGAGGCCGATGCCCAGGATGTAAGAGAGCCACATTCCTCTGCTGTTCATCACTCGGGTGTTGGGGTTCACCTCGCTGTGCGCCGTGCCCACATTCATGATGGCGGTGGTGCCGTTCCAAGCACTCGATGTGCAGACGTTAAATGATCTCAGGTGAAGCCAGCTGCTGTGGTTATCTGTCTGCTGGAAGATAAACAGAGAGACGTCTACACTTGAGCAAAAGGTTATCTGGTAAATTATAATCTGGAGACTCTGAACAGTTTATAACGTCAAATTTTAATTAAATGACTTGCTAGCTCCTATCTAAAGTTGTACAATTAAAATAATACTTTCTAAGTATTATAGGGTTGGGCGATCACTTACCAGCTTTAAGCTTGTTGCTTTGTTGCTTATTTATATCTATGTTAGCTACTGAATAACAACAGTTACTTCTCCTGGGGTCCACAAAATGTATTTCAGTGAATATTAGCCCATAAAATATATTATTATATCATGTTTTTGATTAATTTTGATGTCTGAATTAATTAAAAAATCAATAATAGAGTTTTTGATTCACACATATGAGGAGTTTTTTGTGACACCACTGACAACTGTGGATGCCACTTAACATACATACAATCATATTCTATATCATGATATATGAATGTAAAATAACAGTTACAACAGTGGTATTGATTTTAACCACGTGGCCTAGTGCTGCGTGCATTCAATCCAATCCCCAAAGTGACTACCACTTACTCAGCTTCAGATATTGTGCCATAAAGCACAATCAATGCACATTTTAAAGGACACCTGCCAGCCATTCACAAACTAAGGCCAATTTAAGGTTAAAGTAAAAAAAAAAAACCCACAAAGAGCTGAGCTGAGCTCTCAGAGTGTGCCTGGTCCACAGTAACTGATTGACAAGAGTAAACACTGAAACAAGCTCTGGCTCATTCCAGCATGCATATTTACCCCTAACACAGCCACACATACCCCCCCACCGGTGCACCACAGGGGGGTTCAAAGTAAACTCCTATATGTCAGTTATAACAGTAAATCATTACACTGCAGAGAAAAATGGCTTCAACTCCGACCTGTGTTGGCACTAGTCCGTTATCACACTTTGTGTCTTATCGATGCCTTCAGTTATGTAATTGATACTGTCACCGGGAGACCGGCGAGGCTCCGGTGTGTCGGATCAGTCATCCGGTACCATCCTCCGGCTCCAGACGTGGTGCTCCGTGCCCGCGGTCTGCTCGTGGCACCCGGTCAACCGAGACGCATCCACTTTAGCTCCGTCTTCCAGACAACAGCTGGTGACAACACAGCACAGTTCATGATGTAACGTCACCGCTATTCGTGTCCACGGGCCTCCTCGCACTCTGCCGCGATTGGTTTGCTTCGTGTCACATGGTCGCGACTGACCAATCGCCGTTTAATGCGTTGAAAGAGCCCGGGACACGCCCCCTCCGCGTCACGGCGAAGGAGGGGCCAGAGGAAATGGGCTTGATTGACTTCTTGCGATTTGATAACGGAGGACAATGATTATTCATTTGTGACATTAAATCAGTTTAAAGAACATAGAGAAAAACGTAGAGTGCATTTTTTAAACATTGCTGCATGTGACATCTTTTTTGCAACAGAAAAAAGCTTTGAAGATTTGAGAAAAAGTAGCTCTTACAGATATATTTCATATTTGTTTTCTTCTCTTTTTAAAGAAAGTGTATATAATATTGTAAGAATGTAAGAAATCTAATTAAAGTAGGAAAAGGGGCCACACTAATTTCTTACACTGCATATTAGCCCAGGGCTAAAGATAGCCCAAGGATGAGTTGACCTTGGAATTATCTTTTTTTTTCACACATGCACTTTTAACCGAGGGTTAACCTATTAGCCCTGTGTTGTAATGTTAATTTGTGTTTACATTTTGTTTACTTTGGCCCTTGTTTCACACTGGCACCTTTTAGCTCCGTGTTTACTCAGTTTGTAGGGGATAACCCCGCTAAATCAGGGCTAACCGTGCCCCCGCAGCAACACCAGCAAGCCCTCGGCAAAAGTCAGGTTTAGAATATGCCAATATTGTGCCAGTGTGAAAGCTTTCTTAGCCCCGGGCTAACAGCTCCTTTAGCCCGGGGCTAAGACGGTTCCTCTGTAAGTGCAGGCTTTGTGAAAAAGCCCATAAGATTGTGCAGCCAACAGGCCAGCGCCTGGCTAAAAATAAAGTAGCTCTTACAGCTATTAAACAGATATGAAACAGGGACGAAAAACACTTGAGATAAGGCTAGGTGAGTGTATCATGGTTCTTAAGTCACAATTTAAACTTTTAAACTTCATTAACAGTAACTTTTGTTTTATTAAAATAGCCTCTGGCTTCGTCGCCTCTCTGCTTTGCTCTTGATACCAGAGTACAAAAGGAGGCCCTTGACTACTAATGTACCCAAGGTGAGAGGAGACCTTGCTAGAGGCAACAAAAAATGACTGATGGAGCTGATACTCTGCTCCCAAAATCAAAGATCAACAGTGTCATGTTCTAGGTCCCAAGATCGTCCCTAATACTAATTTAGGCCCACAGTAGCCCGAGGCCAAAGGGGTCAACTGTGTCTACTTGCATGCGATGTTACGCAACACCCACTGTTTGTAAGGGTACCCCTGTGATGAGTGGCAAGAAACAGGTTTGGTCGACTGACAGGGAACTCTCTCATGTGCTCATTGCCTTGGGTGCTATAGCTGTGTTAGCTATGTAAACCTAGAGCTCTGTTCACATGCGAACTATGGATGGCAGCACTATGAGATCATGGCTGGCACTGTAACAATGGCCAAATACATGTCACTGATAAAACAGACCTC